TACAAGGAGAGTCACAGAGACACAGAAGGAGAACACCATGTGTCAACAGAGGAAGAGAGAGTAAGGTGGCTACAAGCCAAGGCATGCCAAAGACTGACGGGCACACAGAAGCAAGGAAGAGGCAAGGAAGGTGCCTCCAGCCATTCAGAGCAGCCCAGCCCTGCAGCTGCTGACACCTTGACTTTGGACATCTAGTCTCTAGAACTGTGGGAGAATTCATTTCTGGTGCCTGAATCCACTCAGAGCTTGTGGTCATGTTACAACAGCCCCAGCAGCCTAATGCAGCCCAATAATCAGAAGGCAGTGAGGTTTTTTTTTTTTCCCTTAATTGATGCAACTTCTATGACACGAGTGATTTGTACCTGAATAGAACACATTTGCACCTTTGTTTAGCATTTACTGGGCAGCTAATACGTGCCAGAGGTTGTGCAAGGTATCAGGGCAACAAAAGAAGTTCTGCGAGAAGGACACCTGGGTAAACAGATGACTATGACATAAGGCAGCAGGATTTACAAGCAGGAATGACGACTGGCATGCACTTGGTGTGGCATGTGGACCTACTGAGTACCTGACCCTGTGCTGAGCACCCTGCACACATCCTCTCTCTTAATCCACAAGCCAAGCAATGAGGGGAGGCGCTGTGATTGCCCCTGCTTCCCCTGGGGGAACTGAGATGGCTGGGCTCTAATTGGGGCACTGAATGCACAGCCCACAGGGGCGCTATGGGGCCCAGGAAGCTGGGAGGTTGCTTCAACTTGGGGTGCCTGGGGAAGTGTAGGAGCTTGATTCGGGAAGCAGGAGGGTCATATAAATTTGAAAGTGCCTCTGTGAGTTTTCACAGCAGTCCAAATAGATAAACAGATCACAGATAGAGAACGGCTGCTGTCCATCATGAGGCACTAAGGAGCAGGACCAGGGCTCCTGACATACCCACAGTGAAGGCAGCCGCCATTCCCAGGACCTGGCACCCCCTATGTCTGCGTGCCTGTGCAGGAAGGGGGTGTAAAGGTTTTTATTTCCTTCTCTATATTCATTTGAATTTCGCAAATTAGTCATAGAAAATATCACCACCCACATTATTACTCTGGCTAATGCTTTGTCACCCCTACTGTGTCCTGGTCACTATTCTCATCACTGCATGTGTGTCACTGTGGCTTGTCCCCTGCCGCCCCATGGGGTAGACTTCACTGAGGCCCAGAGAGACGGGGAGAACTACCTCCACCAGAGCTGGACTCCACCCCAGACCACCAGCCCTACGCTGGAAGCACCTCGCTATAGTAACCCCAGGGTGCTGGTGCCAGTTTTAAAGGAATGATGACCTCAGCCCAGTGTGACATCAGGAGCACATACATTATGTCCCTCTGTCTTCTGCACAGCTTTGTACACATTTGCACGTTTTTTCCCCCTCTGCCCATTTTTAATATCCTGGAATGAGCTAAAAATATAACATATAACATATAAAAATAATGATATTCGCATGCTTGTCTACTCTGGCAGGGAAACTTCCCTATTAGGACAAACCAAGGGGTTGCAGTTTCAGCCAAGAGTGAAAAGATTAGAGCTAGCAAAGGACAGAAAAGATGACAGAAAGGGAACTGACTGGCTGCCAGGCTAGGGAGTGACCCCCCCCCCCCGCCCCCGTGTCCCTCGCAGGCTCTGGGAAGAGTGAGGGAGATGGAGGAGAAAGAGGGGGAAGAGGAGAGGGGGAAAGAGGATGAGGGAGAGGAGGAAGGGGGTGGAATCTAGGAGGGAGAAGGAAAGGAAGAGGGAGGGGGAGGAGAGAGGGGGAGGAGGGGGAAGAGAATGACCACAACACTGACAAGTTGGATCAGTGTTGTGTCCTCAGGGTCAGCCTGAGGACACCAAGGGCACCCACATGGCCCTGAGCTTCACATTCACAAGGACCCTGCACAGACATGTCCCTCAGGTTAGAGGTCCGGCCATTTAAGGCGGCCATTACTGTAGGTCAACAATTGTCAGCCACTGGCAGTTGGATCCACTTTGGTCAGTTATGCAACATTGAAAGTGTTCACCATAAAATGTAAAATAAAGCATCCCTTATGTCGCCTCCCTTTTTCCTTATCTCTCCCTTCCCTCTTTACTTCTTCCTCCTACCCTCTTTCACTCACCTCCCTTCTTCCCCTTTATCTTCCTCCCTCTTCCTCCTCTTCTTTTTAAACTGTGTTAAGAGTCTGCTACACGGGAGGCTGGGGTTGTGGCTCAGCAGTACAGTGCTTGCCTAGCACATGTGAGGCCCTGGGTTCCATCCTCAGCACCACGTAAAAATAAATCAATAAAATAAAGGTATTGTGCCCAACTACAGCTAAAAATATATAATTAATAAAAAGGGTCTGCTATGGTTTGCAGATGGCTTGATGTGTCCCCCAGGAGTTGGTGAGTTGGAAGCTTGGTCCTCAGTGTGGTGATGTTGGGGGCAGGGAACCTTTAAGAACTGGGCCTGAGTGTGAGGGACTAGGTATTTGGGAAGGCTGCCCTCAGGGGAGATTAATCCTCTTATGGGACCTCAGTCCTGAGACAGTGGGTAGTTATAAAAGAGTGAGACTGACCCCAGGTATTTTAGACTTCCTGTCTTATCATGTAATTTCTACCTCTCACACATGCTCTTACCACGCACGGTGTCATCTTCCATGTTGGGATGCAGCCAAGGGGCCCCTCACCACATCAAGTGCCATGCTCTTGAGTCTCTAAAACTATGAACTAAATAACCCTCTTTTCTTTATGAACTATCTAGCTCCAGGTATTTTGTTGTAGCAATACAAGATGGACTAATAAAAGTCTAACTTTTAATCTTACACATCCCTTGAAAGCACTTCATATGGAAGAGTCAAACTGACATGTGAGCATGCATGTGTACATGTGGGATGTGGAAGGAAAGAAATGGCACATCCTCTTCTGGTGTCCAAGCCTGAGATGACATAATAGGACAACAGGCTTCTCCTGCCCAAAGAAGCTCCTGCAGTCACTGTGAGGTCCAGGCTGCTGCTCAGAGGCTGCTCCAAAGTCACATGCAGGGTCCCTGCTTTGCCCCAACAGGAGGGGAAATGGAAAAGACTGGCAAGCAACCCCCAGTGGCTGCCCGGGCCCCAAACCTTGGGCTCAACATTCTACACAGCATGTGCCTGGATTTTCCAATACTGGAGTTCTTGACAACAAAGAACATGTTCTTGTTGTGATTTCTAGGTTCTAGTGCCCTTGGGCAGCCTGACTGCCTACCTGGAACTCAGATGTACCAAGGAAGAGAATGGCCCAGAAGGCAGGGTGTGCACGTGCCTTTGGCTAGGAAACCAAGCACACCAGCTGGGCTCAGATCTGGGCTCTGCCACTCACAGGCCGCCTGAGCAGGGGCAGGTCTTTCAATCAAAGCCCCATGTTCTCACCTGTGCAAGGAGGCGGCCCTGGCAGCATGGGTCCCATGGTTTAAAGCAGACAGGGGTAGGAGGTGCTCATCACGGAGCCTTGGACACCTAGTAGAAAGTACCCAATGTACTTGGAGGCTATGAGAAACACTTTCTCTACAGACACGAAATATCTGCGACGGGGAATCAGGTGCCGTGGAAATGGCAGTGACAGTCATGTCCAGCCAGGAGATCCCTTCCCGCTATAGAGACACCCCTCAGCCCCACTCCAAGCCCCAAAGAGGAAGAGGTGAATGGAGTCGCAGACAGAGGCAGCACTGCTCTCCTTTGACACCTTGATTTAAAACAATGAAAACGCCAAGCTTTTAGGCTCGGAGCCAGCAGGGAAGCTGGACTGTTTTCCTTCAGGGCGCCCCCGATTCCCAGGGCAAAACTTAGAACCTGGGGGAAATGCGAGGCACCACACCATCTGCCGCTTTCAGACAGTGCAATTAGCAAGAAATGCTCTTCCCTCTTAGTGGGACTCTGCATTAAGTCAGGGTTAATTAATTGCCACATTAAAGGAAAGCACCTTTAGCATTTCAATGACATAATCATATGCAATTACGATCCCATAAAGGCACACTTTATAATTAAAGATGTCTTCACTTCCTGAAATGTGTAATCCTTATGTCTTCAATTCCAAAGAGGTTGGCAGACAGAAGGCACTAAATATAGATCAGGGTCTACTATTTAAATCAGTTTTTAATTCACCTTTCAATATGAACGGTAAACCAGAACAAAAGCTTACCGTTATGATGACTGTAAGTCTTCATGTCTATGAGGCTAAATATTCAGCCACAAAAAGATTTGAATAGAAACGGTCAACAATTACAGGCCTAAAGTGGTTCTCCTAAATGGCGAGAGCTCTGCCCCAGAAGCACTTGAACCACTTGTCCAGGAATGCATTAAAACTCACCCCAACTGTCTCTGGCAATTACGCTGTATTTTCACTTAACCAAGCATTCTGTTTTATCTCTGTGACTCAGAAATGCAAATAGGCTTTCTTGTGATTAGAGAAGCTTCCCATCAAATTGTAAACACCATGCACCAAACACTGTTCAAAATACCCAACCCGGAATGGACAGGTCAGTCTTCACAACCAGCCTGAGATGGGCACTCTAAGGATCCCTATGTTGTACATGGGGGACATTGAGACAATGGAACCTTAAAAATCATGTGTCCATGCCCCGACTGCTCAGGAAAGGTCCTCCTGACCGAACTGCAAACCAGAAGGGAGAAAACAGACTTTCTAGACTTGAACACTCCTTATGTCCCTGGAGCAAGTCAATGTTAGAGAAGCCCCGCAACCTCCTGACTTCTAATTCCTGTGGCTAGTGAGATTCTTCAACCAACTGCAGGTAAAAGACAGAGAGAAAATAAAATCTGAACCACAGTAACCTCCAAAAGGCTCCAGAGAAGGGAGAAAGATCCTCCTAACAGGTCTTCTTAGAAACGGCCTTAGGGGCCCCCTCTTTTATCTTCTAACTTGATTCATGAAGCACCACTATCTGCTTTCATCCCCGGAATAGGAAAGGGGACCCCCCTCCCCCCAGGCTGGCTCATGCAAGGTCAAGGGTTTACCTTGTCATAATAGTATCGCAGCGCTCTGCTCAGCTTATCATAGTTCATATTTGTCTTGTTTTTGCGGAGTCCCCACAGCTTGGCCACTTCTTCTGCTTTGAGGAGCTTGAATTCACCATCGTTGGAGGTCCAGCAGATCAGATGCTCGTGTTTCTGGTCCAGCAGCAACTGCAACAGGAACTGCCACAGCGTGATTGCACTCTCCATACCTGGGGGGAGAGGAGGCCAGGTCAGGAGCCACCCGGCTGGCAGGGGACAGGGGCTGCAGGATGCCCCGCCTCCTCCAGTGAGCCTAAGAGAAAGCCGCCTTCCCTTCCACCCCACCCGGAACACCATCGGAACCCCACTCAGAACCCCACTTGGAACCCGGTGCTTTCTGGCTGCATTTTTTTAAAAAAAAATTTTTGTTTGTTCTTTTTGGTTATCCATGACAGCAGGGATTTCTTTCAGTATATTCATACAAACATGGAATATTATCTCTGCATTTTTGTAAGCAACTTCGATCCAGAAGTACAGGGAAACCCTGTGACCCTGGGATTCACTACACACATCCCAGCAAGGAACAGCAGGGCCCTGGGATTGATGTGGAAAACGATGAACCAAATGACCACATGTGGAATGAGTCCCCAAGGTCTTCCTGACTTGTGTTAACACCAGTGGCTACTCCTGCCCATACTGCCAAATCCTTTGTTGGCCAGTCTCTAACCAGTTATGTGCTGAAATGTGGTATATGTGCTAAGTGCATTTATACAGGAGCCTCTAAGCCCTCTGTCACAGCCCTGGATGTGACTGTCCCCTCCTACAATATGTTGAGCTTCCAGAAGAAGGGACTCTGCACTGCCACTCTGTACTGCTGCAATCTCATAATACAGCGCAAGGCCCGAGCGTATCCTGTGCCACCAGCAGATGCCACAGAACTGAAGAACCAGTCCTGGCCAACGGAAGCCTTCCCCAGGCACTTGTCCTATTTGCAGGTACACACATGGAGAAGTGCTTTCTCCCACTGGGAGAAGAAACACTAAAAAAAGGGCTTTGCTCTGACGATGGAGGAGAGTTTGTAGGTGCTGTTCCTTCTTCCTAAAATGCTGTTCCCTTGCTTCAGAGCCTGGTGAGAATCTACTGGTCCAACCCGACCCAGCTCCTGGGGGACCTGCTAGAGTCTCTCAACTTCTGTCCCTGGAGGATATTCGTTAACGATCAGTACTGGTCCTAAAATAATTACGAAAACAATATTAATGATCCATTGGTTTGATCCTTGTTTGCTTAATTAGGAAGTAGGAAATGGCTGGGCCAGCCTCAAGGACTTCACTGTAGGTCAGCTGTCGGGAGCGGATTCCACTAGAGCCCTCAGTTTTGATCTGTGCAGGATGGACTGATGTCTCAGTGCCGGGCCAAGGAAACCAGGGCAAGACCAGAGGGCAGAAATCTGGCTTCCGGAATGGAAAACGCACCAGAGAGGAGTCACGCCTGACAGAAACGAGGGATCATCCTCTACTAAAGTAAGGGGACAGAGGACAGAGAAGTCCTCAGGACAGTCCAGGGTACAGCAATGGGCAGCGGGGAAAAAAAAAAAGATGCATGACTCTGGGAGATCTGGCAGCCAGAAAAAATGGCCTTGGAAGGGTTGTTTGTTCTAATTAATTTTTATTGGTGCATTACAGCCATACAGAATAGTGGATTCAGCGGGACATGTTCACACACCCACACACAATAAAATGTGATCCTCCTGCTGGGCGCAGTGGTGCACACCTATAATCCCAGCGGCTCAGGAGGCTGAGGCAGGAGGATTGTGAGTTCAAAGCTAGCCTCAGCAAAAGAGAGGCACTGAGCAACTCGGAGAGACCCTGTCCCTAAATAAAATACCAAACAGGGCTGGGGATGGGGCTCAGTGGGTGAGTGCCCGTGAGTTCAATCCCTGGTACCAAAAAGAAAAAAAAATGTGGTCCTCCCAGCACGGGAGGTTTACTTGTACCCATCATCAACACCACAGCTCCCCACTCACCCGAGACAATGATGACAATCATCCTTCTCCCTCTGCACACAGGGATGGACGTGAAAATACCCAGTCACCCCATAAGCACGTGTTTCCTTATTTCCTTTTATAAGTTTCGCCAGAAGAAAGCATCTTATTGTTTTTTGGGGTGAGGGTGCAACACCGTGCAGATCGGGGACGCACTCCCAAAACCCACGGGGCCTTTTCTGTATGGTATTTTTTTTGGTGCTGAGGATCAAACCCAGGGCCTGCCCATGCTAGGCGAGCGCTCCACCCACCGCTGAGCCACAATCCCAGCCCTCTGCATGGTATTTTTAAGGGGGTTTATTCCTTTATCCAAGTCAACATTCGCCACAATGGTCATTCGGTCCACACGACAGTAATTCATTTCACTGTTGCTCAGAGCCACCCCGAGTACGGTCAGGCCGACTGCTGGGCTCCGCAGCACCTCATGGGCTCCAGCTCCCAATGAGGTCCGCCCTGCGGATGATCTGCAAGGGGGCCACACGTGTTCTTCGTCACTGGTGCTAAGAATTGCTAACCATTGCCTCGGCCAAACACTCCAGACTGAGCTTTTAAATACCTTTGAAACTTCAGGGCATGCTCAGAGGAACTCACCTGAAAGGGCAGAAAGCTGCCCGTGGGCTTGGGATGTGGGGGGAAGGAGGTGCTGGGTGGGAAAGTGGTCGGCCACCAGCCCCCTCTCCACCTTCAACTGACAGGGACCATCAAGTTCCCAGTGGGACAGGAGGCAACAGAAACGTTGATGCAAATGTTTGACCCTGGGGAATTCCTCACGGTGTTCCAACACTGTGGATTAGAGCCCGTAGGGTAGGCCCTTCCCTCCTTCCCAGGGTCAAGCTGCTGTGCTCCACACGACAGTGGACGTGGTACTTTCTTCCCACCATGCTAATATCGAAGCTTGGCCACAGGCCTTGATTTGGCCAACGGACAGTTGGGTATGTGTAGCACCATCCTCATTCGGAGTCAAGGTCTGAAAAGTGTCACATCTACACTTTTCCTCCTGAGTTGTGTGAAGCTGCTGACCCAGAATGAGACCATGGAGCCGGCATGAGCTCAACCCAAGACCTGGAGCCCAGTTTTACCAACTCAGCATGTAAAGCAGTTCCCCTGAGGCTGACTGGTGAGAAAATAAATGCCACCGTAAGCCAATGATTCTTGGGACCATTTGTTACGCAGTACTGTGACAGCCAAAGCTGACTGTTACAACACCCAGCCCATTTGTTCCTCCCTTCACGGGGTGCCAATATCTTCACACTCCTGAGCTCACGTTCACAAGGCTGCAGTGTGTCCAGACTCGTAAAAGCATGCTACCAGACGTGGGGGCATGCGGTCTGGGGGAAAGGAGGTGCTTGTTTCAACACTGTGACTGGGGAGGATGCCCTTCTTATCCGTGTCTCTACTCAGAGGCCCCAAGAGGGCTGAGTGGCAGCCAGGGATGCTAAGGCCACAGCCTGAGGCCAAGACAGAAGGGAAGTGGGGAAGGAAAAAGGAGGCGCCCAAGAGCAGAAGGGGAACAGGCAGAGGAGGGCATGGTGAGCATGAGGACCCCCTGCTTCAGGGGCTGGGAACCAGGAGTCACAGAGCGGCCCCTGACAACTCTCAGGCCCCAGCAGGGCTCGGGTGGTGGCTGGGTGCCTGGGGGCTCACTGGAGGATTATGCAGAGGGGCAGACAGTGAGCAACTCAGCTCCACCGGAGGTGACTAAGGGAACAGGCCCCAAGTGTCTGCAGTGGCCTGCCCAGTGCAAGGGCCTGTTCTGCTCCAGAGCTGTCTTCAGCCTCTCCTCGACCCTCCTCAGTGAGTCAGGTGCAATGACTGTACAGTCACATAAAGCTCCTCTGTGGGAAATCCCGCCATGCATTACTCAGAGACCCATCTCAGGCGGTCCCCTTGAGCTTATGATCCTATCTGCAAAGAGGGGGCACTCCTTCCTGCTCCCAGCAGAAGGCATTCTGGGAGGCCAGGGTGGCCCTGAGCAGCTCTGCCCCTACACCTCCCTGGCCAGAGCCATCTGTGTGATTAAAGATGGGTGCTAGGTGGGCAGGGCACAGTGGGCAGCAGGCTACCAGCTGACCACCTGGCTCCTATCCTCTCCCTTTGAGGGAACAGACTGTGTTTCTTTGACATTTAGTTCCACTGTTGATTCAAATGATGATGAAATTGAGTTTCATAATTTACTGTTGTTTTCACACATAATCACACGTTCTGTTCTATCACACCTCTGCCAGCTGTGAATTTTGCCCTCTGGGTTGTTGGAAAAGAAAAAAAAAAGTTTCAACACTGTGACTGGGGAGGTTGCCCTTCTTCTCTGGTGAACACGGTCCACGTGAGCAAATCCATCTGAAAAAAAAATGATGTTTCTCCTAATTTAATTCCTCAACGCCTATAGTCCTTAAGAAACTCTGATACCTTAACACACTAATACAATAAAGTCGCATTTATTCTGGAAGCCACTATAAAGGAATGTAATTCCAAGAAAGCTGTTGAACTTGAGACTTAACATGTGACACATCATTATGTCAACGGAGGCCTGAAGTTAAGAGATTTCATGAGCTTAAATTCATTTAGTTCACTGCCCACGATGCCCAGCTGAAAATCTGTAGAACATATGAAAGAAATGCTAGAAAGCTTTTAAAAAATGCTTCCCAGATAATTTTCTTTTGGTTTTTAAATTAACATGTATGAACTCACACATTAATGGGGTTCAGTGTCTCAGCACATGCATACAGCGCACACTGATCAACCGGGGTAACTGGCATTTCCCTCTCATCTCAGTTTATGGTGGGAGCATTTGAGCACCTCACATAGGCCTTCAGAAAATACACCCTAGGTTGTTGTGAGTGACAGTCACCTCTGGACTGTAGAGCCCCCAAATTTATTCCCTCCCTCCATCCGTGTTTCGGCCCCCCTCATCCAGCCTTCTTTTTTCCACACCCCCCAGCCTTCCCCATCTCGCCTTCTACATCCAGGTCAAGATTTCTTCATTTCTACATTTGCCCAAATGAACTCTTTTTTCCTAATTAGAAAATGTTTTTCTTTCCCTTCCTCTGTCCAGACCTGATTTTGAATGCAGGACATTTTATCAAGTTTTTGTTTTTTTTTTAGGTACCAGGGATTGAACTCAGGGGCACTCAGCCACTGAGCCACATCCCCAGCCCTACTTTGGATTTTATTTAGAGACAGGGTCTCACT